CGGCGTTACGGATTCCGCGAAACACGTCACGTCGGGATACGCGTATCGGGACTGCGAATACTAATGCCTCTCTAATGCATCGCGCGGCTTGAATTCATAATAGACAACGGGCGTCGCGTCGCCTCGCCTCGCCTCGCGCGCCGGCGAGATGAGGCACCCGCGCAGAAATTTCCCCGGAATCGAGTTTGTACGCGGCTTTCGCTCGGACTCCGCGATTTATCGCGAGCGCGCGATACACCGCGGGATCTGCATTTCCACGGAAGCGCATCGGCGCCTTTTGTTTTCGAAAGAGGCAGATTGTTATGCGGCGCTCTGCTGCGCGGAATATCCGAAGCTTTCACTTTGCAAGCAATCTGCCGTAGCCGACACGTGCTAAAAAATAATCGCCTCTCTCCTCACGTTCGTTTTGGAATCGCGCGTGCAAGAAGGCCCACGCAAGAGTCGTGTTTGCTCGAGAATGCTATCTTGGTCGAAAATTGAATAAATCTTCCCTCTATTAATATTCAATCTCGTGCGCTTTGTTTTCTCACAGTCTTCAAAGTTTGAACATGTATAACTTGGCAGCCAAGATCTCAAAGATTGAACAAACTTCTGGAATAATAGTTCCATTATAATATTCGCGCGTTTCATCACGCTTTATATCCTTCATTATTATCGCAATGCTTCCTCTCTGCGGGCGATATATCGCGCGGCATTCAAAAGGTTAAGAAAGACGAGCGATGGAGAGATGGAGGGCCCGTTCTCGTCGACGAAATCGAGACGGAAAATCACTCACCGGCTGTGTGAAAGCTTTCACACTTGGATATCAAACGCGGCTCGGCGGAAAAACGGAAAATCCAACAATAGTGCCTCGGTGGTCGCGTCTTTATAGCCGGCGTGAATGAGGCACCTAGAGAATCAGCGCGAAACAAAGATCCGCGTTCAATTTCGCAGAGAGCTCGAACGGTAAAGAGGTTTAAACAAAGTTATAAATTTCGACTTTTTCTTCGGCTTTCGACCCGTATAAACCGGACCGGTCACAATGCTTTTACGAGTAGACGACTTTCCGGGTCAATTGCAATCGCTTTTTCGCCGCACGTACGTGTCGTTTGCATTAGCCGGGCTATACGGCATGATTGAAGACTCGTGGAGAGCTCAGTGAATTTTAGCGAGCGGATTTCATAGGTTTAACGTATTATAGCGTTTTCCAATTCAATACCATATGGCGCGATGCATTTGTATATCTGTAAATAATTTTTTTTTCCAATAATCCTGTTTATTTCGACTTTTAAACGAATTTTTATCCTTTTTTTTTCGCCGAAAGATATGAAGATAATACATAAAAAAAATTCAATCAAATAATACGCTTATGCATTTTTAAAAAATAAATATGCTGCTGTTCGAAATGCAAATGCGGCTATATTTGCATTGCGAAATATGAAGATAGTATTGCGTTTTTCTAAATGCAAATCTGTTTACATCTGCATCGCAAAACACTAAAATAATATTCCTACGCGTTATATCTCGAAATTATGTTTGAAAATGGCAGCGCGATTATATTTGATGTATAAGATGGAATTATTAATGTTAGCCGAGAATGAATTACAATTGAGAGATAATTGCGAGAAGGAGGATAAAACATGTTATTTGACACTTCAATTTTAAACGCAAGAAGAAATTTGCTAGCTTCATGTTTGTTGTATACTGTTTTTTCTAACACGGCGAGAAATTTAAATGTTTGAAGCATTATGAGGCTCCTTGCGGTATTCGACAATTTATTCTAACGAAATGCAGCCACGTTTTCCAACGTAATCATTTTAATGAATACAAACAAAATGACGCCGATGACGAGGCCGCGCGAGCCAAATGCGATGCGAATCGTGACGCATCATGCATGTTATAATTCATTATATTTGCTCTCTATTAAGCCAACCAGCATTATTTTCATTATTCTCAACGTATCCTCAAACAATATTATCGATTAACACGCTGATTACTGCGAAATACATTTCACCGCGGAACGATCCCGCAAATAAATCGATAAAATTAATGCAATATTTGTGATCAAAGAGCGTAACTTTAATATTTGTTAATCGACCATCAACGTTTCGCGGAACACTGTATCGGCGCAATTGGCTGTGAGCGCTATATTAACGCACCGATACGATTCCCGAATAACATTAATGGATGATCCGGGCACTGACCTCTAGAAAGTCCTTTATGGTGCTGTCGATGACCATGAGCGGTCGTTGTATGAGATGTACGACGCCGTTTCTCACCGGGATGTTCGCCTTCACTATTTCCGCCAACACCGCGCCGGTGGGATGATTCGTGTCGCCCGTTATTGTGTTCGATTTCACGTAGACTGAAAATCAGACTATCGATTAGGCATCGGAATATCCACGCTCGTTCACTGTCAAACTCGCGGAAGCGAGTCCTAATGATCGAAACACATGATCGTTTTATTAAACATAAAACCCTTTCGCGATGAATCGATAGCAGCGATAGATTTGTCTTTAGTGAATGTCGTCTTATTAATTACTGATTGTATCTTTGTCGGCTGGATTAAATTATATCAATAATAAAATTTAGTCTCTTCGAATTATTCAACATACGGAATGTTAAAGTAGCTATTTTAATTACATCGAAACCTGCTTACATGTATAATAGATTCTGCAGCAGATGATACATGTACATTTAATAATAACTGTTTCATTAAAATTTTTAATTAAATTATATTTATATATTCATTCCGCCTTGGTAAATGGCGAATGAACTTAAATTGTACCGGCGTTATAATTTAATCTTTTCGGATTATTACATTATACAGAATATATCCGAACAACCATCACCTTTGTTGCGCTTCTTTGAAAAGCTGACGGTGACTTTCAGATTATCAGAGAACGCGAGGGTCGGGTATTGAATCTCTTCTGGCGTAGGTGCAGTGAAGAGGACCTCGCCGGGTATAACATGCCCGTCGATCACTTGAGAGTCAATCTTCTGCGGCCTCGGTACCGGCTGTAACAAGAAGATAAAGATTGCCTTTTGTAAAAACTCCGTCGCGGTAAAAAGAACAGAATATAGATTACAAAATTATCGCTCTCATTATCGAGATAATGATACAACATTTTCTCCGATTTATTTCGAAATCTCGTGCGCGACAAATCAGTACATTTTCCTACGAAATACATAAAATCCGTAATTTATATATAAATTTTCTTCTCTAGAAAAAAAGCATTTCCCAGACTTGATACCTAGATCGCTTTTATTTTGCAGTCGGTACATACATCGCACTTTCTTTCCACTGGATATACGCATCCTTTCATGCGACATCTCAGCTTGGCACAAAAGCACGGCGGCCCGCGTCGTCATGGCAACTCGATTTCTGCGGACCGCAAACTTTAAATCCTATCCTTACGCGGGAGGACCGACTTCGCGGAAAGTCGTCGACGGAAGGTGACGAAGGCGCGGAAGGTGCCGAAAGTCTCGATATCGGCCGCGCCGAGTTCTCGGCGAAGTGATGACCTCGTCGAGAAAGGAACTTCTCGAGATCGAGTTGTACACCGTCGTTATACGCCCCTTCGCACTCCTCCCGACAGTCTCTATTTTCTCCGCTTTCGTTGTTGGGTTTTTTTTTCTTTTTGTATTCTTTCTTTTTTTTTTTGCCGAGTCCATCGTATGTACAGGCGTGAAACTTTCGGTGATTTCTGACGGGATGGTTCGTTTAACTCCAGCTCGTTTTTACGCTCCAAGTTGGATTACATACGCGTGAACGTTCATTGTGTACGAGTTCGGCGTTGAAAATTAGAGAAAAAGCGGAATTCCACGCCGAAGTGTAGCGATGCGAGCATAATGAAATCCGGAGAAGTGGTGAGAGGCACACGTGGATTTATGCAACGCAAAATTCATAATTTTTAATTATCTTTATTTTCGCTACAAATTAATGGATGGTTCTTGAAATTACGTAAAAAAAAGGAATTAAAAATTTCAATGCGTAAAATTTGTAACACATGTGTCGAAAAACATCGTCAAAAAAATAGATACTTATGACAATCTAATAATAATAATGCTAGAAATTAAATAAATTTGTACGAGATAAGTGCGTTTAAAATATTTATTATAATTCATAAATGTTTATTGTTTTATAAATTTTATAGCAATAAGAAGACGTTAAGTGCTTTATAAATATATCTATTGCAAGAGTTAGTAAATAATTAAAATAATAATTAAAATAAATAAAATATTTATATGTAGATTATGCAATTTGCTCAACAACATTTTTTATGTCAATGTGGACGTGCAACTGTAAAAATGCGAAAATTTTGATATCACCATGCAACAAAGTAACGTGATACATAACGAGTGAATCGAGGAACATCAATAAACATCAAAAGATTATCCTAATGAATTAATTGACAGAACTGGAGAGACTGGGCTCGCAGCTCGTCTGTGATGTTTGAGTAAGCGTTAATATTTATTTCTGCATTAATTCCCTTGAATTTTTTCATCGCACAATGTAGAATTTTCCCAACATAAAATAGTTGACATGAATAAAAACTTTTTTACATTTTTAATCGTGGAAAAATTTGACATGCGACAATATTTACGTCTACACGAGAAACGATAATAATTAGTTATGTTTACAGTTTCTACGAAATATACGAATTAGATAATGCTGCGATTTAATGATAATATTAAGGATTTTTGCCAGGCGATGCTAAATAAAAAATATCGCACGGTGTTTCTTCAACGTTAAAATAAATTTATACGCGATGTCTGGATGTCGCACTTGTAACCCGACGTTTGAAACATCTAAATGCCACACGTATACGTATCTGTATCTAGAATAATTTACACCCGCTAGTAAAACGTCACATCGTGTAGCGCCGTTCCGTGCAGGATATTTTGAGTGTGCTCGTAAATTCTACCACCCAGGACTGTATCACGTAATTACTCGGAGGTGTGTTCCAGTCACTTCAAAGTCAAGTCTTTAATCTTAAAGACGCTGTCCCATCGAATTTTAAAGTAACTTTATTCTCCACTTAATTCCAAGTCGCAAAATCTCTTTAAATAATCTCCATGAATTATTCAATGTCACTTTTGGCGATCTTTCGGTACAATTGCAATACGTACATCGGAGAATCTTGTGTCTTTTCGATTACTTTATTCCGAACGAGGCGTAACAAATGCGATTGCCTTCGAATCTTCTGAAGGTAGTCAGCCACGGGAAAAGATATTAAAATCATCCCCCGGATGATCAATTCACGAAGGTCGCTAAGGCGCTTACCTTGAAACCCTCGTCAACGGGGATGAAAAAGGTATAACGACCCTCGATCTTGTAGATACTCTCTTTCTTCTCGATGATGATCCGCTGTCGGAAGGTACTAGGAAAAAAAAGGAACGGTTAATTATGACGAGACGTAGTGCAGAAGAGGTGCACCGATTTAATAAGACAAACGAGAAAAGTTTGTGCATTTATTTACGTTATTTAAATGATCCTCCACGCCAAGTTTTTGTATTTATATTTAAATCAGGAACTGACAGACTGCCGTGATAATACTTTAAGATTGCCCGTGAAATTATCCGAGAATATAATAATAATTAACATAAGATATTTAAATCGGAAGCAGTGGATTTTTTTTGTGCTAGATTATCATTAATCAAATTTACAATCAAATATCTGCAAAATTCATCCAGAGACGAGAGGTACGAAAGATACACGCGCGAGGATGTGACAGCATAAAAGTTAAAAGTTCAACAGTGATAACAATCTGTAGAGAGCCAAAGAGATTTAAGAATCTACGAAATAGTTCCCGAAAACGCTTTCAGAATGCAATATACATAGAAAAGTGAATTATTACACTGGAATTCAAGGGCGTAAAAAGCTTTCTCTTTCGAGTGCCATAAATGTCCTCGTTGTACGTTTATTCCTGTCTTTAGACACTCCCACTTTTGAAAACTATCGACTTAACGTCGTATATATAGAGTAGCTCTCGAGCTCGATGTTGATTTACCGCACAGTTTACTTACCGTACGCGATGGTCGCCTAAATTGAGGTGCTCGCTCTGATTCAGAAACATCAGTGCATCCGGATTGTAGATCGGTGACTCAACCGAAGTAGAATAGACTGGTTCCAGTACTTCATTTATAATATGCAGAACCTGAAACGCACAAAAAGATATAGAAGATTATTATTTAAAAAAAAACGTAAGAATATTAAAGAAAAGCAATTTTCTTCAAGAATCGTGTATTATAATTTTATAGAATATTTTATTTATTTAAACAGCTGATGTTAAAATGATTAATGCATTTTAACTTAAAAATTAAGATTTTAAATAAGAGATGAATAAAAAATTACGCATTACATCTAAGAATAAAGATATGAAACGCTGCATAAAATACGCTGCATAAACTACATATAAATAAAATAATGTTTAAATAATAGATAAAAAATATTCAGGAATTTTTCTTATTATATTTTCCTTGCATAAAAGTGGCGTAAGAAGGAAACTGGGAAATTATTTTTAAAAATACTGAAAGAGGATTACAGCGAAACTTTTGTCGCAGATCTTGTATTACTGACGTAAAGCGTAAATATTAAATCGAGAAGATCCTTTGAGAATTATAATAAAAATTGTCGCGAATTTTGTGAGCCTGTGAACCGCGCGTAAGGGGCCAAGTTAATCTCGCCAAGTCGAACCGATCCGTGAATCCGGTCGCGTCGAGGAAGACGAAGTGAGACAAACCGACGTCAAGCTCGCGGCGCAAACTCGGCGGGAAACGGGGACACGAAGAGAGACACGAAGATAAACCTTCGAAGTGGAGGAAACGGAAGCGGATAAGCGGGGCCAGAAAGAGAACGGGGGTGGTGCACGTCGCAAGTATTTATCCTGCGGCGACGAGCGCCCGGTTATATCGGTCTGTCAGAAACAACTGACGCGCGCTTTAATGGTAAACTCATGAAGGAGAGAAAAACATATTTATTTATTTGTGTGTGTGTGTGTGTGTGTGTGTGTGTGTGTGTGTGTGTGTGTGTGTGTGTGTGTGTCTTCCAGGTAATGCGCTATAAAATTTTCTGCAGCAAGAGACAGACCTCTCTTCCTCCCGAAAGCAATCTCGGACAAGCTACGCGAAACCTTTCATCAAGTCGAGCGGCGTTTCTTCAGCTTTATTTATCGCGGTAAATTCAATTGTTTCGCCGGAGACTCGTATAAGGGTTTGCCCGTGCGATTGCCCGCGTCGTGTATAAATACGAAGAGACTAGAAAATAAACTTCATAAGGTCTTACGACCGCCGAGCGAGACGCGAGACGTGGTGGCTCTCTTTCACGCACTCCGTATAAGCTATTTCACGGATGTCGAGTCGCTGGAAAGTGAGAAGATGTAGAAACTGTTTACTCCTCCCGCGTCTCTCCGCTGGGATCGTGCGGGAGGCGCCATCACTTACCATTCCGAAAGAGAAAAAGTTCGCGACTAAAACGTTGCCGCCGCTATTTATTCGCTCTCCCCCGCGATCGTCCTGACTCTCTTATCTCGCCAGGGATATTCCTTTTCTATAGTTGTTTGCCTTTCTCCAGTCAAGAAAGAAGAGAACGGCGGGGGCGGAACAAGGGCTTGGGGAACATAAGCGTCGAAGTTGCAACATCTCAGGAGATTCCGCTCGTGGAATATCGCTCAAGACGTGTTTTCCTTTCTTTTTATTATTAATAGCACAATGCATTTACCATGATTTCACTCAACTGTCCACAAGTATATTTACTACAATATTTGTGTGCGATACATACAATTGAATTCAGACTACACGAAGAAAGGGGGGGAAAAATGAATGGAAATTCTTTTAACAAACGACATTGAAAATGAAATAAATCTGAAATAATAATTCGGCTTGAGTCGTAATACATTCACACAAGACAAATTAAAATTCCCAAAGATCCAGAAACTCGTACATCTGATACGAGCGTTTGTGAAAGCGTATAATTAAATATCCGCGCGATCCATCGTGGCCGCGCCGACAGTTTTAATACGAAACATCCATCACGGTGTCTGTAAAGATGAAGAGAGGGAGAAAAAAAAGCTGGTCGCGCGTGGTCGTACGGAAAGTTGGCGCCTATGAGCTTTCCGAGAGGAGGAAGAGGAACGGGAAAACGCGGAAGATCGTATGATAAGAGGAGAAAAAAGAAGACGGGGAAGGAGCGTGTCCCATTTATTCCGCGTAGTCGCAGAAAAAGACAGCGACAACGACGGGGGTGACGGCGGGGACCGCGATGGTGTGGTTGGCTAGAAATGAATCGTTTTACTCACCGAGAATGAGAGAGGAGAGCGAAGTTTGTGTGTTCCTTACGGGATAAGACGGGCCGAGCCGGGACGGCCATTTATCTTGCTCGCGACCACGAGTCATTGGGAAAAGAAGATCGAACGTTCTCGCGACGAATTCTTAATTTTTCGCGCGGTTACCTGCGCGTCTGGTTATTCGTGCAACAACTAAATGCGCGGGATTGCGATATCGTCGAAAGTACTTGGCGAACGAGTGCGCACAGAACGCGTAAGATTCTGACTTGTCGAAAGTCAACTGTTTTCAAATAACGAATACATTTACAGCGATATATTTTATTTCATAAGATAAGAAAGACGCTAGAATCATGCGATACTAAAATTAATCTCGAAAACCGATCAGTTCTTAATTAATTTGCAGGGTCGCACAATCGCGACAGAGAGCACCGTATCGATTTCCACGAGCTATTGTTCGCTCGTATTAATTTTACTCGGGTCTCTTTGTTACGTTCGCGCAAGCGGAAAGTGTGGCGACGATGTCGGCCTACCGCGGAGTATCATAAAGTTAACGCTAATTAAACTTTACCGATAGTTGCGCCGGCCCATTCGCGACCTCTCCGAAGCGGGCAGCTTCTTAATCAGCCGGCTACCCATATTCGCGGTCGGGGATGGTACACGGGGGTACGAGTTATCATCTCGATACACAAGCGCAGCCCGTGCTCGCTTATTTCTCCCGGACGCCCCGCCGCGAGATAATTACGATTCGCGCGTGGTTAACGATGAATTACCGTACGCATCTACCTTTACGACAAAATCGCGCGAATATGCTCTTCGAAACGGAGATTAAAATCGGCGCCGTTTGTCCGTCATAAAGACATCGTAAAAATATCGCCATTTTAGTTTTACATAATTCCCCAGGTAGCACATGTTCATTACAGAAACGTTTCATAACGATTCTTAAAAACGTTTCTTGTTGGTTAAAATGTTAATCTGAAAAACGTTAAGAGAAATTTTGCCGACAAAAAACGTTTAAAAAACGATCAAAAAAACATTTTTTCTAATCTACGCGCAAAAAAAATGTATTTTTTCTCACGGAATTAATAAAATAATGCATTCATATACAGGGTGAGTCATTTTAATCTATGGATCCGAATATCTTCCAAATTACGGTATCTACAAAAAAATGGTTTAGATAAAAGTTGACCAGGACAGAGGGAGTCATTTAATTGTACCATTGGTTTTGACCTTGAGGTCAATTTTGAAGGTTATTTCCGCACCGCATTATGCACTCATTGTACGTGCCTTTTTAAATGCCAGTTACAATGACAGATGGATTGGACGAAGGGGTCCAGTTGAATGGCCTCCTTGCTCACCAGATCTGACGTCGCCTGATTTCTTTTTATGGGGATACTTGAAAAATGTTGTTTTTGCTGAACGACCAAACACAAGAGATGATTTTATGGACCGCATTCGTAGAGCTTGTGCAGCCATTCCTAGAGCTACCCTGCTTAGAACTGTGGATAGTTTTCAAAACAAATTGCAGTTATGCCTCGAAGCCAACGGAGGTAATTTTGAACAATTACTCCGTGGGTAATTCATTTAAATTACAGTGTCAGTGAGAGGCAAGGGGACTCACGATAATCAAGCACCCTAAAGGAAACAGAACTTACTATGTCCACGTCGTTGTTTCCGGGTAACGCTAAAAGTAAGATGAAAGTGCTTTTGATCTTGATATGACTTCAAAAGGTCAGGTCGAAAAACTAAAAAATTCCTATGCTTATGTAAAAAGTGCCATTGTTTAAGAGCCCATTGTCAAGAAACAGGTTCAGCGGTCAAAAATAGGGTTTACTAATCAAAAAATGCGTTATGAGCCTCAAACAACCTTGAAAATTGACCTCAAGGTCAAGCTAGTCAAAGTGATTTACACTTTTACAATTCATTGACTTTGTTTAAGCATTATGCACATTTGTGTTACCCAGAAAACCACGTCATTTCAGAAAAACTACACCAGATCGTTTTTCAGGCATTTCACCTTCATTTTTGACCTTTCCAAGGTCGCAAAAACAATTTTTTCATAAGACAAGTTTGATGTAAAATTTTCCGCTCTTTCGAAATCCGCAGTCAAAAATAAGGTGTCCCATTTAAAAAAACCATCGTGACCTTGAAATAACCTTCAAAATTGACCTCAAGGTCAAAACCAATGGTACAATTAAATGACCCCCTCTGTCCTGGTCAACTTTTATCTAAACCATTTTTTTGTAGATACCGTAATTTGGAAGATATTCGGATCCATAGATTAAAATGACTCACCCTGTATATAAATTTATTATATATTGTATATATACAATAATATATTTATATATATTGTATGAATGCATTATTTTATTAATTCCGTGAGAAAAAATACATTTTTTGTCGCGCGTGGATTAAAAAAAATGTTTTTTTGATTATTTTTATATTTATATATACAGGGTATCCTATTTTAACTTAGACAACATAATATCTCGAAAACTGCGTTATAAAAAAAAGAGGTGCTTCGGAGATTTCATCTTCGGTTATCTTCATTTTTTTAAATAGAACTATCTTAATTTTTTTATATAAGTCTATTTCTCGCAATACTCATCGTAAAAAGTGATAAGGGTAGAGTAGTCAAAAATTGAATAGTTTACGAGATATTTTATACTTTAATTTGACGTAATTTTACATAAACTATGAAATATCTCGTTAAATATTCATTTTTCAATTATCTCACCTCAATACTTTTATGCACAAAATAATGAGAGGAATCAATTAGTGTAAAAAGAAACGCATAGTTATTTTTGAGAAAAAATATGATATCTCATTTCAGCTACATATTTTTTCTTCAAGACAACCATGTGTTTTTTTAATAA